CTTCAGTTAGTGAGTTCAAAATTGTAGTCTTATAATAAAAATGCAGTTTTGCGATGTCTAAGATGTTTAGAGAATTTTTAAGATACGAAGTATATAATCCTGTTATATTTAAAGACGTTTCAGCCGCTATAGAACATTTCAGAGGACTGTTGAATTTGCATTGTGCCAAAACATCGTTGTGAAATCAGGCTCTCGTCAAAATATTGAAATTGGAGAAACCGACATTTTCCCCAAAGTATGACAATTATTTTCAATTTAATTTTTTTAAGGGGGGGGGGGTGGGTTGCACATCACATTTATGTTAATTTAAAAAGATATTTCTGTTTTGATTTTACTGAAAAACGAAGGTCAAGGGGACAAAAAGGGTAAACTAGAAGTGTCCAAGGACACTACAGCTTTGGAAGTTACCAAAGTGTGGCTGCCATTTTCTCGCTAATTTTACATCTGGCACCCCATCTCCTCTAATCGCAACTATCTCAACTGCTATTCAGAATACTTGTGTATTATTTTACGTAAAGTAGGGCAAGTGAACCAGCTCTAGATTATTTCAATAAAACCATATTTTTGACGACAGCCTGTTTTCATTCATGTACGGTTGCAGTAATAAAATTGCATATTTATTAAATCTTCAAACAGATTGCAAGCTTTTTGCGCCATACTCCCAAGACAACCATGTTAAGAAATTTCTTAACTTATATTTTTTTTAAAGAAGGGGTTGGGGGGGGGGGTGTCCCACCTAAGGGCTTTACATAGTTTTTACGGGGCCTAACCACCTGAAACTTTGTGATCAAGCTACTAGTCGTGCAAAAATCATGCATTTGTTTTTTTCCCTCTATATACTATAGTTTTCCTTTTCATGGTCGCCATTTTGAACATTGTGTCATTGAAACAAAATGCTACGCCTCAAAACTTTACAGATGGAGTTTATTGTTCTTTTAGAAAATATGTAGACAGTGGTGTAAAGTTGTTACTATCGTAAAGGAGCCTTTTAAAATATCTTGTTTCATTTTTAGCTATAGTATGTCAAAGCCTATCATTTTAGAATATGGCAGTTTGCAGAAAATGTACACGAATTTCGTTTATTAAAAAAAAATCTACAATAGATATTGCAAAATCCCTGGGATATCTGCTTGCCAAATGTAATGTCATTAAAATCATCCAGCCAACTTCGGAGGGGTGGGAAAACTATGGTTAAAAAATGAAGATTTTAAGATTTAAAATAATTTTTAAAAGAAAAATTATAGGTTGTTTTTTAAAAATTGGCAATGCACTGGCCAGAAATTAAATAAATCTGTCTTTAAATACAAGAGTGATCGCCAGGAAATATACCGTCGTCAGGAAAATACCATTTGCCAAGAGAAACCGAACCGGGTGGGATAACACCCCCCCCCCCTCAAACACACTTACAACTTACATACCCTTGGGGAGGGTTTTCGAGTAAGTAGATCGTACATGCCTTCGAGATAGAGTGACATGTTACATAACATACGACATGCGCCACAGCTTAGTATCTTACTTAACAAATAGCGTAATTAACAATTTATGTTCTAATTCTCTAATGAACTTTATCATACAAAAGCTTGGCAGATGTCATGGCAACTGGCTCCATGGTGCAGTAAGTAAACCTGCAGATTGATTGGTTCCAATTCTCCAGCTCACCTCCCTGCCATATCTATGTGTGGCTGTTTGTCTGGGTCTCTATCTGTCAATTCATGTTGTCTGCCTCTCTGTCTATCTGCCTGTCTCTCAATCTTTTATATCTGTCTGTCTGTCTTCCTCTCTTTCTTTCCCTCTCTCTCACTCTCTCTCTCTTTCCTTCTCTCTCTCTCTCTCTCTCTCTCTCTCTCTGGCACTCTTTGTGTGTTTTTTTCTCTTTCTTTCTCTCTTTCTTTCTCTCTTTCTTTCTCTTTTCTATTTCTCTTTTTTCTCTCTTTCTCTCTGTACTCTGTCTGTCTTTCTCGCTTTCTCTCTCGCTCTCCTCCATCTCTATCGCTCTCTCTTTCTTTCTCTAACTCTCTCTCTCTCGCTCTCTCTCTCTTTCTCTCTCTCTCTCTCTCTCTCTCTCTCTCTCTCTCTCTCTCTCTCTCTCTGCACGTTTATCATGTACCCTCTCTCGGTGTCTCTCTCGCAGTATTTTTCTCAGTCAGTGTATTTTCATATTTCTCTTCCATAGGATCTATTCTGTATTCCTTACAGAGCTTGATTATCATGAAAACAATATCATTGTTTAAGGATACACAGTAAACTGCTATATAGCTTTCTTTTGCAATGATTTTGGTTACGTTGATCAAATTCACCAAAATTCAACCTCGTCTGTGACAAAAATATGACGAAAGATTTGATCTATGAAGACACTTTACAAGGTAAAATCTCGGTTTTGAATACATTAAATTTGTTCTTTTGTTATCAAAGATTGATAACAGTGTTGGTCTCTCATTCAAAGGTCCCGGGTTCGAATCCGGGTAGCGACCAAAAAAATTTCTTCTCTAAAACTCTCTCCTTTCACCTCCTTTCCTGCTCTCTAGCAATGTTCTGTTGTCTGCTTTCATTTCCACTTTCTGCCCCCACCCCCTCACCTCCTTTGCCCCCTCCTCTGGGCTCCTGACTCTTTCTGCAGCCTTTCTACTGCTACTCCTTGGCTCCTCCTTTCTGCTATCTTTCTGCCACACCCCTGATCTTCTGGTAGGAAAGATCTACACCTAGCCTTCTCGGACAAGGGCGAAAAATTTCGGAGGGCTCGTGTGCAAGTTGCGCACTTTAAAGATCCCTTAGTGATCTAAAAACGATAAGAGTAGGCTTCGGCCGCCACCTGGGCAAAATTCAAAATTTCCTACCAACTGAAAATATTAAGTGTGTCCTGCACGCTCATATGTCCTTATGCAGTCTCGAGCGCCGTAAAACACTTTACAAAAACCCAAAAAACCACAAAAGACGAGTCACTTGTTTCCCCAGCAAACGTCTTTCATACTATTATTATAATGATGGTTAGATAGGCTCTGTGCAGTGGTAAGCAAAGAATATGAGTTCGAGTCTTGCTTCGGGGGAAATATTATTGTAATCATTTCATTTACTCTCTCTGTTGTTCTGGTGAGAAATAATAATATATTGTGGACTCAGTAATAGCAGTAATGTTGTCTCTTGGGAGAAAATGTCAAATCAGGAACAATGACCCGTGGAGTATAAAATCCCAACATTGTATTGCAAAATAATTGCTCAAGTTTATCATGTGAATGCTAAGGCCAATACGAGGCGGAAGCACTGGATGCAAGGAAATTAATGAGATGGGACGAAAGAGGGCAATGGGCGGAGGTGAGGGGTGGGGTGGGGGTGGGGTGATTGGGTGGTAGAAATAAAGGAGAGGGGGGTGTCAGTGCAACAGCTCAGCATGGGAAGGGAAATAATTAAGCGTTGAGAATGTGGTTGGGGGGAAAAAGGGGAGGGGGGGGGGGGTGAGGAAAGGGGTTGAAGAACGGGAACGGGGTGTTAGAGATTTGCAATCACGTTTTCCATTCTTTGGTGGGAGAGGGAAAAGGAGCTCCGACAGTCGCCCGGGACAGGAGTGAGAGGAAACCGTTTTCTGTACTCAGTCGCACCTTCCTTGCAGGTCACTCCTGCTAAATCAGCCATAGTTGTCGGACGGCTGGTAGGTCAAGAGGCAGGGCCACTGGTAGGTACAATGTGGTTTTATTGTCTCTGTTGTACCTACGCTACTTTTACTTTTTTCTGCTCTCTTATATTACAGCTCATTCAACTAAAAACATAACATATTTATCTTGCATATAAATAATTAATTGTGAATGCCAGCGCCGATTTTTACCCAACTCTAAACAGCAATCTTGTATAAATCTTTCTAGTTTATATAATGGCAACTATATAGTATATATTTTTTTGTATATAGATATATATGTATGTATACATATATTATTTTATAAGGGGAAGTTGATTTTTTAAACTTTCTATATGGCACCCTGCTTGCGTGCATTTTTATTTGTTTGGAAAATGTCCTATTATCATGTCACTGGGTTCAAGGGGGAACTTGGCTTGTTTGAATCCAATGAAGTAATATAAAAGCTTAAATGAAATATGTTCAAAAACTGTACGGTTAAAATAATTATTTTCAACCTCAGATGAAGGCACAACAAAAAGTAACCCGTGCCCTGGTGAAGCACCGTTTCACATCAAATTATTACGTTGAAAAAATATTTCTCAAAATGACATATCAGGATTATCAAACATTCAAACTATTAAGGTTCTAAGTAAATGGAATCAAAAGTTATTCGCAAATATATCATGATGTTTTGAGTTGGACAAGCTATACTGCAAGGTGTCGAGGGGAGATGCAATTATTGTAAGATATTATGAGCAAGGTGCGTTGCCGTTTGGTTCGGTATGTTATTCCTTTAAAGAACCTCTTTCACTCCGTCGATCCATCTTTTTCTTGGTGTTTCATTTCCTTGAGGCTTTCGAATTTTATAGTCACATTATAGGCCTTTGAAACTTGAAACTGGCTGCTGCGGCCCATTATCACAGCGTGTCCAAACCAGTTGATTAGTTGTCTCCAGGTGTACTTTATGCTCCATTTGACGCCCACCTGTTGTCTAGTGTCTTCGTTTCTGTATCTCTCTCTTCTCGTGACCCCTCAGTCGTATCGGTATATACTTACATTTTTCTTGTACTGAATCACCATTATTGAGCACATTTGCTGTTCGTTACTCATACTGAAAGTTCGATCAGAACATGCCTGTAGATATTCGTCTTTGCATTCAGTCTTTGAGCGTTTAATTATCCCCCTTCGAAACAAGAGTAAAGGAAAATGCACTTCCTGCTACCCCAGAAAGCGTTCTGTGATAGACGCGAAGGCTACGTTTAAAAGAGAGTACTGGGCAAGAACCTATACCTGCCTGACTCCGATGTGGATCTCAAATTCTCACAAAATGCTCCTTGGACTATAACCCGCATGCTTTGCTTCGTTGCTGTAACTTTTTATATTGCCTGATTTTCCCCTCTTACTAAAGAACTGTTATGTTGTTGGTGTGTATTTATTTTCAGAGAAAAACACATTAAAAATAAAGTAACGACAAAATGAAAACTACAAACACAATTTTGAAACAATTTGTAATGAGCCAAGTATTCCATAATTCAAATCGCCAATTTTCATTGAACTGAAATTTATTATCACAACAATATGAGCTGACAATAATGTTAACATTTTTTAGTAAATGGTTTAACGTTAGCTTTGGTAGATCCAATCACTTTTCTTCTCCTCGGTAGTTGCTTCTGTCGTTTTAAATTTTAAAACAGACGGACATTATTGTTTTAATGTGCTTCTCTTTACTCAAAACTAAATCCAAGCTTTCTTTGCTTCAGATTATGACGGTATTCTGCGATGTCTGAACGTTCCATTTCCCTTCAAACGATGGATGTTACTGATAGTTGGCGACGCCACATATCCTTTACTGGTCACCAAGAAAACCTCTCTGGGCAAGAGGACAATGTTAGCTCCCTTGAGAAAAACCGACATATCTGCGACTACCTCACCGCTGCCTCCAGCGTTCAGGTTAAGGTGACCTGTGTGCTCGACATGTATCTGCCGCCATTCTTGTTCGTCTTTGGTTTCGTCTGTAACGTCTTAGTTATTCTTGTCATGCGCAGTAAGTTCTTCAGGAAACTGTCCACGTCGTTTTACATGGCTATCAACGCTTTCACAGATGGTCTCAGCCTGCTCGTCGCTCTGCCAGTGCACTATTTGTTTGTGAACTTTCCTGAAATTTTCGATACTTTGAGACATTCGCATCCAATATGCGCGTTCTTTAATATTTTTGGATGGGGAACTAGCGATCTAGGAATTTTGTTGACAGTTGCCATGACAACAGAGCGTGCTATAGCGATTCGTTTTCCTTTGAAAGCAAATCGACTGTGCACAACGAGACGGGCTAAGTTTGTTGCTCTAGGTCTTGTCTTGTTTGAATTCATAAAACTGTCCCATTTTGCATTTTACTCAAAAGTGGTTGGAGTAGAGGTGACCAGCCGGCTTTGTGAAGTATTCAGGGATGATCCAGCTTACGTAAATTTTACCGACAACATCTGGCCGTGGCTGCACGTCGCCATTTTAGCATTGTCTTACAGTCTGGTTGTCGTCGGTAATATCCTCATTGTTATAAACATACGGCGCTCTGATATGGAAAGCACAAAAGGTGGACTGGGACGGAAAAATTCGAGGAAAGACTCGACCAGCGGCTCAAGGAACCGACAGCTGTCAGTGATGCTGGTTGTCGACTCGTGTTTCTTGGTGATATGCACTTTACCCTTTGCTATCATCGTTATCCTTATATCCAAATTCAACATGTTACCAGCAGCCGAAGGCGGGAAAAATCTTGCGTACACAGCATCTTTTTATATGCTCTACCTTAACCGGTGTTTGAACTTCTTCCTTTACTGTGTGAGTGGATCCCGCTTTCGCGCTGCCTTGCGGGGTATTTTCACCCTCCCGTCTTTCTCTGCGTCCAATGATAATAAGTCTAATTCTCGGGAGAGGCCCGTAAGCGCCTCAGGGCGTTTGTCAGTGGACAACAATCGAAACACTCGCGCAGACAGGACGAACAACCAAACGGTATGCCCGCTGTCACCGAGCTCCGACCCAGCAGAAAGCCAAGAAACATCCTCTTTCAATACGTTAAGTAACAACAACATTCAAACAGAAGACGTAAGTTCAGATCTGAGTTCAGATTCTATCTACGGCCCAGAACCGCTTTCGCAGAATTCAGCACGTCAAGGTTCCACGTTTTCAGTACATGAGCAAGAATTTGATAGAAGTTCACGAAATGTTTCAGAAGATAATTCCACACACAGGGCCTTTTCTAATAAAGGCTTTGTCAACGACAGCCCGTCATTTGGTCGCAAAGAACAAGAAAGAGAGCCAAATAACTCAGACGAGGGAGAAAGACACCCCACAGTCAGTGAGCTCATCACACATATTAATCCTTGTTTTGTCCTAGATGATTATTACTCCCAGGAATATGAACATGACATTCGTTTGACATTAACCCCTCGGAATCTTGACGTCAGCAACTTTCTGCTTCCAGATATTTTCCACACAGATCAAGGCAAAGCGTCCTCTGATCATATTCCTGTAACATGCCCTTCAATCTCCGAATCAATCAACGCTAGGTACAAACCCTTTTCCCCGCGTGGAAGAGATCCGAGAAGTCAGGCGCTGACACGAGACATCGTCTCTCCGAATGACAGATGTTTACTATCTGAAAGTGGACTTAACCATGACCACAATTCTACACTCAAGTCGACCTGCAGTAAAGGAAACAGTGATGAAATTGTGACTCCGATGTTGACAAAGCCTAGTTTTTGCACAACGGATAGTTGCCGGCGTTTACCCACTGACCAAAACTGTACACAGAATTTAAATCATGGCCAGTTAAAAAACAGTACTAACTTCGCAACACGCAGTAATAAAACAACAGGTTCTTCATCAGGCGAGGAGGAATTTCAAAGTACAGTAGATTGTATTGAGAATGATTCTTTTAAGTCATACAAAGATCAATGTAAACAGGAAGATCTACATAAAGAAGCGGGAAAGGAAGGGACGTCAGATCAACGTTTTAGTACATACCTGTGACCTAAACTCAAAACGCAATGCAATCATTTTAGCTTAACGTTAAAAGGAAACGGTGTGCTGTGGTGAGAAAATGTATGCCTAAGACTGATGTCCATTGTTATTTTGACTTTTGTGATAATAATCATTGTTAGAGCTTTCTTTTATCATTATTCTAATTTGAGGTTTTCTTACTCTTTGTTTTTACATTTTTCTTTCTCATCTACAAGTCGTTTCACTTCATTGCAAAGATGATTATTATATACAATGTCCGTATGTCGTGTTTTACTATCGTATCCAAACGCTGTGGGGAACTCTGTGCCACCACTTTCCAAAGAGGAAATTTACTCGTTAATCCGATCCGTACGCTTTGCATAGTAATGTGTCCAAACGATTTTTTGGAGAAATACTGAGAGTTTCAAAGAAATCTTCGTACTAGAAGTATTCTAAAATGTGAATAATACAACCCCGGGGGTACAAAATGACCCCAGGAGGAACGGATATATGGTTAACAAAATTTACGCATGTGTAATATATCATTTTAAAGACGCCCCGCTCTTGATTTTGAAGTTCTGAGCAAGCCAGGGGTCAGCTTTAAGGGAGTGGGGGGGGGGGGGGGGGGGGTTATAAACCTATCTCGGTAACTATGGCCTTTTTAGATGAAGCCTTATAGCAAGGACGCACAGGTAACTTTATTAATTTTTTTGTGTTTAAGTCTACAGTTGCCATGGTATCGGCCGCCATATTGAAAATAAACAGCTTTCATAAGTAAAAAGGATTTTTTTAAAATTTACTAAGCACATTGGTCCAAATTAGGTACATTGATAGATATACTCAATACAAAGTTTCATGGTTTGGGGATTTTGGGTATCTTGAATAGGAAAAAAGTTGGAGATGGATAACTGACCTCTTCTTTAATGCCTCTGAATTCGATTACTTAATCATCCATGTAACTCACTTATAATTGCTTCTATTTTATTTTCAATCTGTATAAAGTTAGGTTATGGTATGAGCAACAAGCCCTGCAATTTTCATTGGAATTAAGAGAAAAATAAAAAAGCAGATGAGTAAAAACAATAAAACATTGAAGTGTTGGGAAAAAAGACATTTTGTTACGAATAGGCAGAATGAAAGTTCTAGGACAGAAAATCTGAAAAAAGATAATTGCAGCACAAAGAGTAAGCACTTTTTTAGATTTTCAAGTGATTGAAGTGTTATAATGCGTAAAAAGTCCAGAAACTTAAATTGATCGAAAATCGTCAATTTAAAAGCACCCCACCCACCCCCAACTTAAAATGTGCAATGATCGTAAATCACAGTGTACATATTATTTTTTAATCAGTATAGATTCTTTTTCATCATGCCGGTGTGTAACATGTGGCTGTATGTTGTTATGTATGTGTACATGGGTGCGTGTGTAAGTTTTTTAAAAAAGTTCATTCGTCGCTTTTTTGTGGTACTGTCTGCTCTCAGAGAGAGAGAGAGAGAGAGAGAGAGAGAGAGAGAGAGAGAGAGAGAGAGAGAGAGAGAGAGAGAGAGTACTGGTAGGTCCTACTATGTCTGTTGTTTCTGTGTACTGTTTTTCTTTGTCCAAGCACAACATGGCCATTATTGTGCGGATGTGCTTCTCTTTACTCAAACAAACAAACAAACAAACAAAGAGATATAGAATGTTAGAGAAAGTTAGAAAGAGGAAGAAAGAAGAGGATTGAGGGAGAGAGACAGAGAGAGAGAAAGAGAGAGAGAGAGAGAGATAGATAGATAGATAGAGAGAGAGAGAGAGA